ACTGCATCTAGATCTTTTGTTGTTGTTTTTTGTGGGGTTTTTTTTGGTACCGGGGATCGAACTCGGGTCCTTGCACTTGTGAGGCAGGCGACGGAACCACTGGGCTAAATCCCCAGCCCATGTTGTTGTTGTTGTTTTTAAACAGACATGCATGGAGAGAATAAACTGCTGCTTCTCTTGTCAGAGCCTAAGTCTCCAAATCTAACTTCTGAAGGGGATCCAAGAATGTTTTGTTCTAGTTTTAAAGCAACAAAAGACTAAATGTAAGATGGAATGGGTTTGCTTTCAGAAATAGAAAAAAGAGCAGAAATAGACTGTGAAGCTGTGATAATGATAATGACTCTTATACAAAATTTTAATATCCTGGACATGTTAAGCAAGTTCATGATATGTGGTTGTTTTGGTTTTTGTTTTTTGTGGTACCGAGGATCGAGCTCGAATCCTTGCGCTTGTGCAGCAGGCGGCGAAACCACTGAGCTAAATCTCCGGCCCTATGATATGTGTTTTGTCATATCTACTGTTACAGAACAATTCACGTGCATTCAAACAAGCCCACATCTCTTCAGGTACTGCAGCTACCAAGCTTTCTCTGCTTATGGGGTCACTTTCCTATACAGATTACACTTAAGTGCAGAGTTTATTTAAATGAATTTTTAGTCAAAATAAAGCTGATCAACATGATACTATTTCTCATGTGCTTTTCTACCTGAAGGAGGAAAGTATGACAGTTATTTAGAAACTACTGAGAGCAGTATCATGAAAAGGAAGCTGATCTACAATGTCATGACTGTATTTCAAAACTGATTCTGGCTGGGCATGCTGTCATATACCTGTAATCCCAAGACTCTAGCAGGCTGAGGCAGGAAAATTGCAAGTTTTTAGCCCAGCCTAGTGACTTAACCAAGACCTTGTCTCAAAAAGTATAAAAAATGGGGGCTAGAGATATAGCTCAGTGTGAAGGCCCAGGGTTCAACCCCCAGTATCACACAAACAAAACATTTTGTTTCTAGTAATCCTTAGTTTCTCAGGTAGAGTGCTATAGATGCTGTGGTAAGCCTATTCCTAGACATAACAAAGACAGCATGAGTCTAAGATTAGGCTTGTGGGTCGGTCCTGATCCCACTGTGACCTCTGGTTGCCTGGGTAACACATAGTATGTCATCTGACCTCAGGGCCTAAGCGTCCTGTCACACAAACAGAGGGCAGTATGAGGTAGCCACTGAGACTTCTAATTCTACAATTCTAATTTTTCTCCTCTTAATAACTGATTAAAACAAAGATATGGACCGTTCATGTTTTCTCTCAAGAACTAAAGTCCTTCTCAATCAAAAAGTGTTTCTAAGGAGCATGGGAGACTACAACTCCCTCTGAATGGATACAAATATTGAAGAATAAAAAGACTATCTATCAGAAAACTAGCATAGCTTAGACAAAAGTATAAAATCATTAGCATTTGTGATTATGGGAAAATGAAGACATTTAAAGGAGAGAAAGGAAACTGGATTAAAGGATATCTGTATATTTTTACTTCTTAATCTCAGTTCTAGGCTAAGAAGTAATTCAAAAACATTTTTAAAAACATGACAGACATTGAATTATTATTTTTGCAACAAGATGCATTATATATTTTAATGGAAAAATAGATATTCTTTATGTGCCTCCTTTCTAATCTAGTGTGCCTGAATGCAGTATGCAATGGATTAAAACTGAAATCACACAAACCCTTAGGTCCTTCGTCCTTAGGTGGGTGAAGATTCCTAACTGGATCCCGGATGCTGCAGTCTGTCCCTGCCCAGGTGAAGTCACAGATGCAGGTGGCTTCATTACTACACACCTGTGAAGAAAGAACGGAGATTGGGCACTTCCACCGTGCTGTGCAGAACTGCAGTGATCAGTGTAAAGAACACATGGGGGAGGGAGGGAGTGTTACAAATTATCTGGAATTTTCTCTAAGTTTCCATGTTTTTAGCAGTAGACAAGGGGTTAATGATACACAGATCAAACTCTGCATCTTTTTTCTGTTAATTATAGAAAAATATAAGTTAAAATAAAAAGTTAAAATTTGTATCATGCATGATAATATTGTTTATGCACACAAATGTCAGAGAAAGTATTTTTTTAGAAACAGTTTTTTCTGGGAAGATATGTAAAATCATATGTACAATGTCAAGTGACATTGCTGGCAATAAAAGGCCATGAACCATAAATCACCAGCTCATTGGTAAATGACCATGCCCAACCTCAAGCTCATTTGGTGGCACTTTCCCTGCCAAATAAGGAGTCCTGCCAGGCATGGATTAACCCTTCCTCAGTCAGTCAGCCTGCAGACCTTGGAGTGACCTTTGTCTCTGCTCTTTGGGAACCACATAGCAAGCTCAAATGGACTTGTAATTTAGATGAAATAACTAACCATTTGCAAGCTAAAGAGAAGGGTGTTTAAGCCCTTATTTCCCTGTGAAATACTTTCAGAGACAGGTATCAAAGATGATTATCAAATTTAGAAGTTGAATATGAAATGTTTCAATACCATGATTATGGTGTTGAATATGGCTGATTCTGATCTTTTTTTTTGGTACCGGGGATCGAACTCAGGTCCTTGTGCTTCCAAGGCAGGTGGCGGAACCACTGAGCTAAATCCCCGGCCCTGATTCTGATCTTTTTAAAGCAAGATAAAAAGTGGAAGGGTAGTAGGAAAGAAGTAAGGGTCTTTTTATGCATTAAGATCTATGTTTTTAGAGTACTGGAATTCCTGAAAAGCCTGTCCAATGATTTGAAGTCAGCAATTACTGAACATTTAATCTGTGCCAAGTACCTATGCTAAGGACTTTACATAGAGCATCTTACTTAATCCGCACCCCAGCATGCTGAGGACTAAGCAAGGGGAAGTGGTTTAGACAAAGTCACTGCACTAGGAAGAAGATCCTATGATTCTCTCTAGCCCCCAAATCCATGCTCTTAAATCACAATGTTGTGCTGTCTCCCTATGAGCCTTCATTTCAACAAACCCCAAACTCTAGATCATCACCGGACCCACACTTCCTGGGTCTTTCCACCTTCTACTCCATATCAACTGCCTATCTATCTATTTTAGACTGCTTTTCCCTTCATTCCAAGGTGTCTCTATATTATTCCTCTCAGTATTTTTAATATTTCTCTCTTTTCCATTTCTGATGCCTGTATAAATTTTTAAATATCTCAAGTTTATTATTTCATTTTAAA